GGTTGAACACTGAGTGTGCTGCCGAGCTGCACCACAGAGTTGGGTGCTGATGAATGGCACAGAAAAAATGTTTTTTGACTCCCACAGCACTTGTTTGCACTGATTGCCACTTTAAAGGGTGAAATCACTCTCATGGTGCTTAGCTGGTGGGTGACACTGGGCATGTCCTTGGTTCATGAGGAGTGGTAGTTCTTGAGGTGTGTGTTCTGTTTGTTGGTGAGGTCTTTGTTTTAAAGCCTTATGATAAATCAAACTTGTAGCAGCTACAGAATTGTTCACCAGCACGACACAAAGTCAAGATACTCTTCAGCACTCGTCAAAGGCTTTTCAAAATCTTTCTTTAAAAATTGTAAAATATATTTTATGCAGGATTTATAATTGAGAGATTGTGTAACTTATTGAGTTCATGCTTTTTTTTTTTTTTTTTTTTTTTAATAAAAACCTGAATTTCAATGAAGCTTTTGAACTCTACTGAGAAGTGCTTTCCTTTCCCTTCAGTTGGCACAGCCGTCTCGCTCTCAGCCAAGCTTCAGGATGGTTTATTTGCTTTGCTAGAATAGCAGTAAGCTGTAGCAGTTCATCACGGTCGCACACTGTAAGTGATTTTAGCTCGTAAAAGGTGCTGGGTTGGCTGGCAGAGGCAGTGCAGAGCTTTCACTGGTGTGTAATGCAGTGCTGTGACAGAGCAGGGCCGTGCTGGGTTTGAAAGTAGCTGGCTTTTGGAGCTGTGGCCTCGTGGATCCCTCTGCTCCTGCTGAGCCTCTTAAGAATCAAAGCACTGCTCCTCTGGGCATGCTGCTTGGTTTTCAAAGGGGGGTTAAAGGCACAACAGTATTCTTACATCCTGCATGGGCTGGGAGCTGTTGCTACAAGCGGAGCAAGTACCATCCTGGACTGTATGGAAATCTCTGGCAGGCTCTGTCTGCTGTTACTGGTCTTACTGGATTTTTGGGGCTGTGAACCAGATGCTGCTGCTTTCCAGGGCTCTGATGCTCCTCCCTCTGCAGCCAGCCTTGCAGGGAGTCTCTGAGTGCTGGAATGGGAAGATTTCACCCAGAAGCCTCTGGTTGTTGCTGGTGGGTGAGCCCTGCTGCCCCCTCCTGTAACAAATTGGGATCCCCCATGCAGAGGGCTGAGCACAGCCTGTTAAGCATCCTCATGCATGTTTCCCTCCAGTGTCTGAATGCTGACACTGCTGATCTAGCTGGCTTCTTTGGAGTTGCTGGACTGCTAGTGTGCTCCTGAGGCTGAACCAGATGTAAATGGTGCCCTGAAGGCTGGGGAGGTGATGATGACCTGCTGGTTTCACATGCCCTGGGAAACCTTAGAAATTAAGGTGAGGAAACACTATTACTTATACATGGCACAAGAGTCTAAAGTCACTTGCATGTTTTAATTAAGAGTGCTCCAAAGCAAAGGATTGTTGTGCAGTCTGGGAGTGGGAATAGCCCAAACTGGGAACACTATACATCACCTTGTGGCTTTATTTGTTGTCCCACCAGCAAGCACAGACCTGGCTGTTTGTTGGTGTCAGTGCACTTGCATAGTTTGTTGCTTCCTGCACATCCTGGTGCTGCAGATAAGCAGATCCCCACCTGGATGACAGCTGTGTGCTTAGATCTGTATGTCAGTGCAGTCACTGCAAAAGAGAAAGGGGTTGAAACTGTGACTCTTTTCAATCAAAGGATAATTAAGCACCTGAATTAAAGGAGAAAGTTGCCTTTCTTTAAGTTTAAGAGCAGTGATTTTGAACACAGATGAAAGCTGAGTTCTTCTTCCATAAAATGAAGAAAACAAAACCTACACACATGGAAAAATGATGTGCAGAAATGGCCTGTGACAGGTAGGATGTGTAAGGCTGCATCCCAGCTCCAATAACTCGAGCTCTGCTTTATCTTCCTGGTTCTGCAGAGCACAGAGCCAGCAGGTTGTCCGTCCTGTTTCCTCAGGCAAGGCTTGGCTGGGAGATCCCTGCTCTGCAGTGCTGAGGTTGTGAATTCCTCTTGTTCGTATTTCTTTGTGCTCTTTTAAACAGAGCTTTCTTCAGAGCCACCCAATCGCAGCTGCTGCTCGAGCTGCGTTGTGATGGCAGGTGTTGCTCTGTGCTGGTGTTTAGGTTCTGCCCCTTGGAAGGATGCCTGCATTTCAAAATTACTGCTTTTTTTCTCCCTCTCTTATGCAATGTCTCGCTGAGCAGACGTGCTCGGGTGCACTTTGGACTGTGGATAGCACAAACATGACTTTTACTCTCTGCTTTGCTGTACCCACATCCCGCGAATCCTTTATGGTGTTGCTGTGCTTCCAGTCCTTACTGGGACCTGTGCTGTAAATCCAAGCAGCAGTGTCCCTAGAAGAGGTCGTTAAAGGGTTGCAGTGTAGTTAGCAGGGCAGTTTGGGCAGCGCTGTGTTTCATTTCCTTTTTGGTCAGGGTCTGAGGAGCAGTCTATGCAAAGTGCTGGCTATTCTTACACACTGTTAGGGAAGAGGGACTCATATCAAATGTCACAAACTGTCCGGAGTGCCTGCCTTACATATGGGGAGGGGCAGGAGGTGGAAGTACTGGAACAAACTGCTGCTTCTCTCTGATCACTGGGTCTCAAAGTATTTAAGGCAGTCTGAGATGCTTTGCCTCTATAAGCAGAGCAGGGGAAGAGTGGAGAAGCTGAGTGACCCAAAAGATCAGCCAGCAACCCGCTGCATCACTGCAAGAGGAGCCATGGTGATTCTCTTCTTTAAGTCGCTCTGTTCCCAGATGAGTTTCCAGGTTCATCTGGGTGCCTGAAGCACAAAGCAGTTGCAGAAGGGCTGTGGTTGGTGAGGAGCAGATGGTGCTGCCCGGGGATGTGCAGTGCCTGACCTGCAGGCTGAGCTGGCAGGTGGCAAACAGGAGCTGCAGGTGGTGAGTTGGACCTGCATCTGCTGTGAGACTGAGGAAGAGGAGGAGGAAGGCTGCCTCCCTGCAGTGCCTCCCACACACAGCTTGCACCTCTCGAGCATTTTAGCCAGGTAAAGTATGCTGGGGTGGGGTGCTGGAGATATGGCTGACTTGCTTTGCATTTTTTAAAGTGGGCAGAGGGAAGACCAGCGTTAGAATTGCACTGCGGTGCACTGAGGCCTCTGTAGCCTCTGGGATTTGAAACGAAACCATGCAACATAACAGAGTTTGTGGGTCCCTTGTGGAAAGGGGCAGGTTCATCACAGGCACACCCTGGGGAGGCCTTCCATCACAGCAGCACCTCCCACCTCTCCCAAGAGCTTTTTTACTTCCCAGACACAGGCTCCAGAATTCATCCAGGCCAACTGTTCCAAAGGTTCATCCGTAGGGCACCAAGGTCTGTGTGAATCTCAGTCTTTCTTCTGTGCCCAACTGCTCTCTGGTTTCTGCTTGCAAAAGCTTGTGGATGGCTGCCTTAGATTAGGTGTTGGTTTCAGATTTATTGATGCCCATTTGAGCCCTTGATATTTTTAAGCTAGTGTAGCAGATCTTCCACTCCTGCTCTCTCCCCAGTAAAAATCCATGCATCTCGGGCCCCTGGCGTGCAGCTGTACTGCCCTGAGCTGCCAGCTCACTTCAGCTGCTCTCCTGTCCCTGGCATTTATGTGGCCTCGGACCAGGAAGGGCTTTTGTGGGTTGTGAAAGTAAGCCGACAAGTAGCAACAGATGGTAACATTGTCAGTTTTACAGTCCTGTTTGCACCTGGTCACCCAATGTTGGTGATTTTCAAAGGAGAAATGCATCTGGAAAGGTGACTGAGGGGCATGTTCAGTCCTGACCACTCTCCCACGGGCAGACTGAACTCCTGAGAAGTGTGAAAATTATTCAGCTCCACTTATTTACCACTTAATGCAATAGTCCACAGATTGGGCTGTTACCCCTTCTGCTTTTCCTAATGTCCTGGTGCACGTTGGGCTGTTGGGGCCTTTTCTGGGGATCAGACCCTGCCCCCAAGAGTCTCTCTAGCCCACAGCTTTGCTTGGGGCATGCAGGGGCGATAGGTCAATGTCCTATGACTACACAAACAGCTTCTTCCCCCTTGCAGGAGTGGGCTGTGAGCTCTGCCATGCCAAATTCCCCCTCTGGAAGTCCTCCCTGCGGCATCAATTGGCCACAGCCTCAGCTTCCTCCTGGGGCTGCTCCTGCTGCTCCTCTGGGGTGGATCAGAGCCGTGCAGGAAGGCATGTGATCTCCTTGACGAGGTGGGGCATGCAATTATCTGTTGCCAGGAGAGAGGAGGTCATGCTGGGAGTGAAGCTGTTTAATCAGAGCTGGATGTGATCTGAAAAATCACTTTGGAGGAGAGCAGTGCTCCCGGCTGTTTGACCTTTGAGGACTTCCTCAAATTCTTCTCTCCCACCACGAGGGCTGGAAGCACCCCACGAACAGATCCAAACCTGAAGCCCCCATGTAACCACAGTCAGCGTTGGGGCTGTAAGAAAAACAGCCTTAATTAAATAATGGGAGTTTGAGCATCTGTATGGCTCTGGTGCATTTGTTAGAGGCTGATGGATGGAGTAAACAGCTTAAGCTGAAGTGACAAAGCTTCACTGCCTCACCCAGGGAAGCAGGAGCTGCCCAGCATCCCAGTGCCAGGACAGGCCCCTCAAACCATCCCCTTTTGAATCCCCAAAGGAGTTGGGGTTGGGATTTTAACAGTTCAGCAGTCAATACGAGCTACAAGTGCCCCCCCCCCCCCAGTGCAGCCTGTCTGTCTGTGTGTGTCTGTCTGTCCATCCCTTTCCCAGGGCAGGGGAAGTTGCAGGCGCCTGCTGGAAGTGCCTCACAGGAATCGTCCACATCCGCCACGCAAAGGTGAACTGAAGGCTGCTCTTCTCATGGCTGTCCTTACCGGAACGGCAGGCTGGGTTCCAGCTCACAAAATAAAACGTGTTTTGAGAAACAGTGATTGCTGTTGCCTGGCATTAACAATAGGGTCCGCTCCTCCCCCAGGTGGCAATCTGTGCTCTGTGTGGGAGGGCAGCAGATCCCAGCCTTGCCATGGGTTTCTCAGCCTCTTCCCCCTGTCCTTTTCCTCATCTTCCTCTGGAGCGTTGTTTGCTTTGTTTTGGCTGCATCCTGCGTGGGGAATGAGTGCTGCACGGTGGGGTCCTCCTCCTCCTCAGATTGGTCCTGCCTCACTTTCAGTGGGGTTTGGCCTGTGCCAGCAGAGCTTGGACAGGACCTGGTGCATGGGATGTTGCTATGGCCTCAGCTCCAGCACTGGGGTGCAGCCCTGGCTGCAGTGCCTGCACACAGGGGCATGCTGGATGCCGTGGAGCTTCCATGGGGATGGGCAGGACTCTTTTCTCTTCTCCTCTTTTCCCTTTCAGACACAGAACCTATAAGTGTCACATCTTTGTTCCCACTAGAGCCTGCTGGTTCCCTGCAGGTAGCGGTCATGTGGCTGCAGCCTGGGCTGTACCCCACTCCCATTCAGCACGGGAGGGATGTGGGGAGCTGAGGCCTCTCTGGGGCTCTCCATTGCCAACTCCAGGGAGCTGAGGTCTGCCCACGTTTTGGGGTGCTGGGAGTGGAGGTGGGCTGGGGCCGGAAAGGACACTCAGCCCTCCGGGAAGGGAAGAGGGCAGAGGTAAAAATAACCCCTGGGCTGGCTCTGGTCCCTGCGGCTTCCTGCAATTTACAGCCCTTCCCGGGGAAGGGGAGGCAGGAACCTGCCTGGATCCGAGCTCACTTTGACCCTTTCACCGCTGACAGAAGGTGCTGGAAGGACCTCGCTTTGCCCCGTTCCTGTGGGCTTAGGCAGGACCCTGAGGAAGGGGATCACAGTGCCAGGTAATCGTTGCCCTGTTCCCGATGCACCTGGTGTGTGTGGGGTCAAACACAGCGGGCTCCTCTGGGGGGAGGCAGACAATGCTGCTATGGCCTCAAGGGTCAGAGGGATGGAGGGGAACCTGTCCCAGAGCCAGGATCCTAGCTGCGATCCCATAAGAAGAGCTGGGAGATGGAGCCCGTGGCTGAGGGGAAGCCCGGGGTGTAAAGGTTGCAGGGACTGAGGGCTCGGTGCTGGCAGGGTGCTGGCACAGAGCAGGATGTGCTGATGGGGCTGGGCTGGCAGGGGTTAATGGGGTGGCTCTTCCTCCCTCTCTATATGAGGCTCCTGCGGCTCTGGGCTCAGTTTGCTGCTGGCTGCTGGAGGAAACAGGAGCAGAGGAGACCAACCAGCACCCTGCACAGGCCCAGGTGAGCAGCCCCAGCACGGGCACACAGCTGGGACATACGGGTCCTGGGGCTGGGCTGGGGGCATGGAGACACTGCAGCCCAGGGGGGGGTGGCAGGATCATGTACTGGGGGCAGCATCCATGGAAGCACTGCAGAGCTCTTGAAACCCATGGAGATGTGGGAGTTTGCCCCTCAGGAGCACAGGATCTGAAAAAACTCAGTGCCTCAGTTTACCGTCTGTAAAATGGGGGTGGATGCACTGCTGAAGCCCTTGGGCTGCGTGGGGAGGCAGAAGGCCCCTGGGCTGCCTGCTCTCTGGATAGCTGTGGTCTCTCTGTCCCCATCATCACCCCAGAGGTGGCTTTTCAGGGCCATTTGGGCCTCTTTTGCTCAGGGGCACCATCTGCTTTGGGCATTTACAGCCACCTCTGCTATTCAATTTATGGCCCCATTGCTGCGCGCCTGCTTGGTCCCAACATTGTCCCCCACTGTCCCTGCATGGGTGCTTGGTTAAAGCTGAGCAAGGGCTGTTTTTTGTTCCTTGACACTCCCAAATAAGTGGTGATAGGAGAGGAATCGATTATCCCAGATTCTGCCTTAGGGACCCCTTGCAGCAGAGGGACAGGACAGGAGAGGATGAGCCCCCAGCAGTTGTGGTGCCGACCAAACAGCCTCTGCTTAAAATAAACCTTCCCGGAGCTCCTTTGTTTTCTTTTCCTGAAAGGGAAACAGAGCCGCGAGCCCGGCCCAGCCCAGCACCGTGGGGAGCCACGATGCCCCGAACAACACGGAAACCCCAGCAGCCAAAAGGGCCCCCACTGCTGGCACAAGGGGAGGGAGGGCTGGGGAAGCACACTGGCTTCCCCATACTGTCTTTGTTCTGCTGTCCCTGGGCTCGTAAAGATAAAGCAATGGCTCCAGTAAGTTTCCTGTACGAAGCTGCTCTTGGGATCTTGATGAAGCCGGCGGATGCCTGGTGCTTCTCTCTTCCTGCCCGTGATTGTTCCTGCCCCGGTTTGCAGGGCGCCTCCTCTGCAGGCAGGGGCCAGTCCTGTCCCCCTGCACGGCTCTGTGTCGCTCCCGGTCCTTTTGCTGGTGGTGCCACATCCCTTGGTGCCAACCTTACCCTCGGTTCCAAACTCATCTATGGTTCCAACCCCATCCCCATCGCTAACCCCACCGCTCCTCTCTCCTCCCAGGACAGCGGCTGAGCGCAGAAGCTGAGCGCGGCTTTGGGGTCCCCATCCCGCACGGGGTTGGCTGGCAGGCGATGGTCCCACTCGGCAGCACCCCCCGAGCCGTCTGCGCTTCTGGCCGCGGCGTCTCCCCTCTGCGTTTGCTGAACCGGGGTCCCGAGTACCTGCGGGAGCAGCTGGGGGGAGGCGGCGGTGGCCGCACACCCAGCGCCGTGGAGCGGCTGGAAGCAGACAAAGTGAAATACGTCAAATCGCAGCAGGTCATCAACAGCCGACAGGAGCCGGCATTGAGAGGCTGCTCGCCCTGCTGTTCGCCCCGCGGCCGGCGATTTCTCGCGCTGCAGCAGCGCCACGAGTTCTGCCACGGCTCGGATCTGAGCTGTGAAGGCAGCCGCAAGGTGCTGCCCTGTCCTTCGTCCCCTGTGCCGCGGAGGGGAGGTGGCAGCAGGCGTCTGCTGAGACCCGACTCGCTCGTCATTTACCGGCAGAAGCGGGACTGCCCAGCGATCAACAAGGAGAACACCAAGGGCTACGGGCTGGTGCGACGCCTCTTCCAGGGGCCGCTCAGGGACAAACCCCCCAGCTCTCCCCCGGCCCAAGGGTCGGATAAAGCCCCCGAGAGCCCCATGCTGTGGGCGTCCATGGAACAAGCAGAAGATGTGCAGACGCCGGGTGCCGGCAGCAGCAGCAGCAGCATCGTCCCGGTGCCTGGCAGCCCCGTGCCGCTGCCCCCCCAAGCCTCCAGCCTGGCCCAGCCCCCCTCCTCCCCTGGCCCCAGCAAACCGGCACTCGGGCTGCGCCCGTCCCTGCCGCTTTCGGAGAAGGAGCGGTTCTTCAATTACTGTGGGCTGGATCGGGCCATGGTGGAAGGGCTGGGAAAGGAACGGTTTGTGCCAGCGGGATGGGATGCTGCCTCAGCACGGCTCCACAGCTCCTGTGAGTGGGAGCCCAGCCAGGCGTCAGGATGCAGCGGGGAGGACGTGGGGCCAGGTGAGGAGGAGCCGGACGCACGGCTCTGCTCCGCCATTTCGGTGGTGGAGCGCAATGCCCGTGTCATCAAATGGCTCTATGGCTGCCAGCGAGCTTGGGCGGCCGCCAAGGAATCCACAGTCTGAAAGGAAGCACCCCAGCCAGCCGTGTGTGGGTCTAGGTGGATGATGCAGCCCCCTGCTCTTGCTGGATGTGGTTTGGGGAGTGGCAGCACCCCGACACTATGGTGCTGCTTGCAGGCCAGCAGGGACACCAAGTCTACCCTGAGCAGAGACAAGGTCTGCCCACAGAAGGGACAACTGCTTCACCCCTTGGATATGCTGCCCACCAATAGCTGCTTTTTGAGGTGTGGGTGGGGTGCCCAGGGACTTTCTTTGGGCGAGTCCGGCCTCAGCCGTGGTGGCTGGAAGGCTGCTGTTCCTTGCTGGTCCCTACCTCTTGGTCTTCCCTATTTCTGGTTGTGGTTTAGAATGGCAGCTTTCTCCCCATCAGCCTCAGTGGGAAAGGGGCTGCGAGGATGGGAGCAGGACTCTAATAAACAAACCTGTGGTTTTCTTCTAGCGTGGCTGCATCTGTGGTTTCTTCCAACACTGCCTGAGTGGATGGGGGATGCTCTGAGGACTGAGGTGGCAAGCCCCCTCCCATCCCTCTGGAGGGTCTCAACCCGCTGGGACAGCTCTGCAGTCTTGGGGATGGAATGGGGCTCCACGTGTGGCAGGGCTGTTCTAGGAGACAAAGGCAAAGAAAGCACCACACACGCTCAGGGAGAAGGGCGCCGTGGGGTCTTTAGTGCCAAAACCTCCACATTGCCAGGGCCCATGACAGCATCACTGGCTGGCGCTGCCGCAGGGCCACGTTGGCATTGCCTCTTCTAGTTGCCCTTGGAAGCATTTTTATTTCGGATTTCAGCCAGTTTGCTGGCCAGGAAGCCCCATTTGAAGGCCCCTTCCTCTGGCTCTCGCAGGTCGCTGGGGCCCTCATCACCTGGTGGCTCTGTGGGACTCTCACTCAGCTCTGGAGGGGCCACCTCCTTGTCCAGTGTTGATGCTTGCTGCCATTTGGTAGCGAAGAGATCCCAAAAGCCGGCTGCTTTCTGGGCGGGAGGCAGCTCAGCTGGCACGGCAGCAAGAGGGCTAAAGGGAGAGCAGGGGAAGGGATGTGAACACAGGGGCTCCTGAACCAGCTTCAGTGCTGGGGCATATCTGGGATCATAGGTGATGGGGGAACAGATGGGGATGCAGAGCCCAGGGCAAAATCTAGGCTATGGGAGCCCCCCTCCCTCCTTAAGCCATAACTTACTGGTCAGCGCAGGGCTCTGGGTTGAGCAGCTGGTGCTCATCCTCACGGGTGAAGAGAGATGAGAGCGTCCTCCAGCCCCCCTGGACCTGGAGAGGAAGCACAGTGCGACTCAACGGGGCTCACTGGGAGTTATTGGGGCTCACTGGGAGTTATTGGGACTCCCGATCCCAGCAGCACCCACAGCCGCAATCCTCACCTTCCGTGCCAGCTGGGACACAGGGCCGGATCCCTCCTCCATCAGCGCGGGAGGCTCTGCTGCCTCCATCAGCTCGGAAGGGTCTCCCTGCAACGAACCCAACCGAGTGAGAGCAGGAGGAGGGCAGGGGGCTGCAATCAGCCGTAACCCCCCACCCCCCATTACCTCCTCCTGCAGCGCACCGTCAGCCCGTGCCCCCCCCAGGGTCTGCAGCACCCTGGCTTTGTAGAGCCCCCAGATGCCCTGGGTCATGGCGCGGGACAGAGGCGATGCGCAGCGGCAGGCGGGGAGGTGGGGCGGCTCTCGTCGGCGATCCGATGCCCTCATGAAAGTTTCAGGGACTTCGCTCCGAGCACAAAGGGGAACCTGAGCCCGGGTCGTGCTGGGGGAAAAGCAGCGGGCGGGGGAGGGCTTGGTTCACCCCAAACCCCCTCCCTGTGCCCAGTGCGCACATCGGGGCGGCCCAGGGGAACGGCCGAACACAATCAGGCAGCGGTCTGTAGAACCACCGCCTGCGGTGGGTGCGTTTTAATGCCCGTTTCGGGTCCATGAAGGAACCGCAGGAGCCACGCAGCGCTCAGCTCCGCAAGCAGGGCGCAGAGAAGCAGACACAACTTCCGCTCTTCCAGCGCATGCGCAGTACGGCCGGGCGGACCTGCTATCCTAACGGCAGAGGAGCGACGCCGGACGAGCGTGTGTCCGCCCCAGCGCCGCGCTGCTGCCACCTGCTGGCCGGAACGCGGCACTGCAGGCGCTGCTCCGCACCCCGCGCCGCTGCGTTAAGAGCCGCTGTTCCATCACGTTCCCGAGCAGCAACTAAACTAATTAACAATTCCTTTTCCTCCCTTCTCACGTCCGCTGGCTTAAAACAACACAAGAACTCTCGCATCTCCAAAGTCAATTAATCACTGGGCTAGAACTTTTGACATCGTAATTAGACTTCATTAATGGATTGCCGGAGGCTGCAAAATGGAAATGTGGTAGATGAGCCTCCCTTTGCATCATCCTTCAGTTAATTACATGCTTATCTTGGAAACAAAAGATGCTGCACACCATGAAAAACCTTATTTGTATGTCCAAAAATATGCATTGGTGGATGCGCAGCGAACATTTGTTGGAATGTTGGAATGGAAAATGTGAAGTTACCTTCCCTCCACACAACCCGCCCTTTTCACCACATTGCCAACAAGCCCTGAGATCCTTTAGATCTTCTGGTGAAGCAATTTGCAAAATGCTGTCTTCTGGGACTAGGAAAAATGCTTGGCTGATCCTCCTGACCTCCCCTTGGTGCTGTGCATCAGAGACCTCCGCTCCTCCCAGGGGATGAAGCTCCATCTGCACACAGATCTGCCTGCACCACCCCTCTAGGGAAGCGATTTTCTCATGCAGGTCACTGATATCATAACACAGAGCCATAAGTAATCAAATTTAAAACGTGCTTTCAATTAAACCAAGGGCTTTCCGTTCGGTAACATCTTTCAGCAGCAATTTGGAACCCCAACACCATATAATTGCTGCTAATAATCATGCAGATAGCAGATAATCTTAACCACTTGCTAAGATTGTTTCTCCCAGCGACATCAGGCACTGCAGCCTGTCTCAGCTGTGTGAATTTACTGTTTCCCTGCAGAAAGCACTGCTCTCCCTGCCTCCAAATCCTCCTTTGAGGCAATTCAGTCAACAGACAGCTTAAGCTGCTGCTAAATTGAGGTTGTGAAAATTATTTCTCACTTTATGTCCCACTTGGGAAGAAGCTCCACCAAGCCCACACACAGCGCCCTGCGTAATGCCTTTAATGATGGACTCAGAGGCTCAGAGCTCTGGAGATAAATTTTAGGTGGCTTTATACTTCAGATAGTCACTTGGATTTATTTATTTTTTAATCACCGACCACAGCAGGAACTGTTGGTGAGTTTTATGGTTGTTGTGGTATTTTATCATTCCGTGGCCTGCTTCCCACTATTAGGATCAGGATTAGACCTGAGATAATGCTACATGCTGGACAGTTATCTGTCCTTGGGCAGTACCATGGTGGAGATTGTTACCCCACTTCTCCCTAATGGCAGCACAGGGGCATCGTGGAACGCTCCAGGCTCAATATGAGGTGCTATGCAGGTGGGCAAGGGGAGTCACTGCTCTCCCACACTGTCCTATGGCAGACGAAGGGCAAAGCAGATGGGTAGATTTCCAGCTGAACAAGGAGGTGCATTATTATCCAGCCCACTGAGCACATCACACACAGCTGAACCCCATCATGGATGATGGACCAGCCTGCAGTTGGAGAACAGCCCCTTCTGGAAAGTTCCCAGTGACATTTCTGGGTTCACAACACACTGCTGCCCACAGCTCTCACGCTGTGCATCTCTCTCTCCCAACCCAGTGTGATTCCTGCTGCAAAAAAAGCCCCAAATTTCAAACAGAGAAGGGTAAAATGTCCATTCCCACACCTGGAGCTGAATGTTGCAGCCCAGTCTGCTTCAGGTCCATCCTTCAACCAGCTCTATTTTATAAGTGGAGACAGCAATGGAAGAAGCACTGCTCCAGATAAGCTGGCATCAGAGTGGCAAAGGGACAACTTGACCACAGCCATCTGGAAACAGGCTTTGGTATCACAGCCATGACCTGATGTGGGTCAGCAGGCAGCCAGGTGTGTGGTGTGGGCATGTCCTGTGTTGAGAGCTCTGGATAATGGGATCGTGCAGAGATCTGCACACCACAACAAATGGCAGAAAATGAGTCAACTGCCCCCATGGAGGAAATCACTGCCTGACCTTTCATACGGTTCACTTTCGATGCAATCACCTGACATTTATGGGTTTTATCAGTATACCCACAAATTAGCCACAGTGTCCAACCAGCTACTAGGAAGAAAGTAATTATGGGCACCACTGCTAGAGCTGATAGCGAGGGCTACTTGGGGAAATAAAGGATTATTTTCAAATATATTTATGTAGGAGATCTTCATTGCAGCAGGTGTAAGGGAAAAGAAATTTTAAGGTTGAAATAACTGCGGGAAGAGAGAAATGAAAGCATTCAGTATTGAGATCTAATCTCCTCAGCACCTCGGGCAGCAATGGAAACTCTTGAAACCCAGAAGCTGTTTCCTGAGAAAACTCACAAGGAGAAGGCAGTGGTAGAAGGAGGTTTCTTTCCACATTTCAGGGCACATCCCCATAACCAGAATTCGGGAAGCAGAGACATCAAGCCAGCACTCAACCCCGAGGCACCCCTTGTCATCACGCTCATCCCCGTGCACCCAAAGGAACCACAGCTCGTGCTGGACCCTGCTCAAGGGGAATGTCCCCACCACATGTGGCACTGGATGGAGCCCTGCAGCACAGCAGGACACAGAAGGGCTGAGAAAAGACCCCACGGTCCTGCCGAGGACAGCAGGGTCAGTCCTAAAGGGCTCACCGCTCTGGGACATCTTCTGAAGGATGCTGCAGACGCGAGGAGCGCTTCCAGCAACACTCAAGCTGCTTCTCAAACCAGTCTTTTCATCCCTGTTGTACCGCTGGGGTGCTCAATCCTCGCAATATGTCAGGCTGGTCACTAGATGTCCCCATCTGAATACAAATGGCAATCCTGCCAACTCCCCCCCCCCCCCCCCCCTTCAAGCAAGGTACGAACCAGTCTCACAGCCCCCCACTGCTCCCCGCTTGCTCTCCTTGACACCGACAGTAATTAAAGCTAACACCACTTAGCCTCCTGTCATTTGCACTGAATCGCTAATGTTTGATTTGTTTAACCCTTGCGGCAGAAAAGTTAAACAAACAAGCAAGCAGCTCAGCAGGGCGTGCAGCATCAAAGGGAATGGAGGGTGGCAGGAAGGCTGCACCCAGCTTGGTGCGCCCTGTTTGCACCTTGTTTGCACCTTGCATCCTCTGTGCACCACCAGGCTCTGCCCTGCCCCTCTCTGATGCATTCTCATCCTTGTGGCTTGGAGGGTGGCAGGATCCTGGAAGGAAAAAAGCAGTACATGAGATTTTACAGTGCATGGAGATTCAGTACTGGGATAAGGGCGAGGGCACCTGCCATGATCAGAGCTCAGCTGTGCAATGCCCTAAGCAAGCCACTGCATGTTTGCCCTGCCAGGAGCAAAACACAGGACCAGAGACCTCCAAAGGTCTCTGCAACTCACACAACCATGGATTTCAACATCCCTCTTCTCCACAGGACTACAGAATCACAGAATGGCCAGGGTTGGAAGGGACCTCAAGGATGATGAATCTACAACCCCCTGCCACACGCAAGGCCACCAACCTCCACATTTCATACCAGCCCAGGCTGCCCAGAGCCCCATCCAACCTGGCCTTGAAGGGATGGACGGGGCATCACAGCCTCTCTGGGCAGCTGTTCCAGCACCTCACCACTCTCATAGCAAAGAACTTCCCCCTCACATCCAACCTCAATCTTCCCTCCCTCAACTTCAAACCATTTCCCCTTGTCCTGCTGTTATCTCCCCTTTCCAAGAGTTGATTCCCCTCCTGTTTTAGGCTCCCTTTAGGTACTGCAGGCTGCAATGAGGTCACCCCGCAGCCTTCTTTTCTCCAGGCTGAACAAGCCCAGCTCCCTCAGCCTGTTCTCATAGGGGAGCTGCTCCAGTCCCCTGATCATCTTCGTGGCCTCTTCTGGACCCTCTCCAACAGCTTCCTGTCTTTTTTGTACCCATACACCCATCCCTGACCTCATGCTATTGGGGACAGTCAGAACATTTTTCCTTTAGATCTGGGTTGCTGCTGCTCTGGCAGCACTAAGTCCCCACGCTCCTTTCCAGCTCCTCTGTCTTTTTTCACCTGGCTGCTTACCTCAGTATTTTCAGGTCATTTAAGCTGCTTTATTTCGTTAAGGAAAAGCAAGCGGAGACTGTAACTGGAGTTGATAAATCCTTAGACCTTGACCTCAACGTTTAACTGCTTAGGCTGATGCTTTTCATTTCTCCCAGCTGTGCAAAGGAGAACGAGGAGCTCCATTTCCCTGGGAGACAGCAGGTGAGAGTGCACCGTGTGCAGGGATGCAGAGCTTTGGGTTCAGGGTTTCTCTGCTCCTCATCAGCCGTCCCAGTTTGTCGTGGTATCACACAGCATCCGGGGGCTCTAAAGAGATCACAGAACTGACGGTGCTTTGTGACAAGGAGACAGAAGGCTGAGTCCATAATATGTCCAAGAACTGCAAGACATCATTTCTCACATCACAGGAAAATGGCCCACGGCCATCAAAAGGAAAAGGAAAGAAAAAAGATGCTCTAATAGCAGGCCATTATCTCATGACAATGGCTCTGTTAACACGTGCTAACCCCTCTGATGTGCTTAGAAATCTGAGCAGGGAAATGAAAGGTGCTGCCGGTAAGGAGAGCTTGTATTTAACGTTTCTGGCCAAGTGGGAAGTGGAATTTGAGAGAGCAGTCCTGTAGGCTTAAGGAAATAGATTGCAAAATGTGTTTGGAGTGCGGAAACAGCATAAAACACGTTGCAGTTTGGCTCATTTGGGATTCCAGTCATAGAGACAGCAACACTGTGGAGGATTTAGCTTGCCAATCAACATCTTATTTATTTCCTCTGAAGAGAATATCTTTATTCTGTGCCCGTCG